TAGACTGTTTAATGAGCAGAAAATTCTCTGTAATTAACTCACTCACTGGTGGTGAGCCGTTATATGCTGATTGAATAAAAAGCTTGAGAAGCAATTCTAAGAAAATAGCCAACTGAAAATATTGCACAGGTTCTCAATTAAATTTCTCTGAAACTCCTCAATGTTATGGAGAGAGCAAGAGTAGACTTCCATTCCACCTTATGTGGAAAAGACCACAAGTTCCTTCCAAATTCATGAGTTCTTATTTTGAGACATCCAGTTTTGTCCCATTGCTTCCTGTGGCCCTTTGGATATTGCTAAGTCTTCCCTTGAGGTTTCACAGGGCACACAGCAAAGCTGCACAGCTCACACCCACCTTGATCTGGTTTGGATTCCAGTATTGCAGGTTTTGGAGCAGCTGGACCACTCAGTCCATGGGAAATGATCACAGAAGCAGGCGTGGCTCTTGTCAATCAGAGCACTCAGCAGGATGAAACACAAGACAGAGTGTCTGGCCATGCTCTGAGAGCCTCCAGGCCCTGAAAAGCAGTGATAGAGTGCATATCAAAGACTCATCGGGGGGGGGGGGTAAACCTTTACAAATCATTCTGTTAGAGACTCAGATATTATCTTAGAAAACACTGGTGTCTCCCCGTCTTGCTTTAGGCAACTTAACACCTAAATTTACATGTTCATGAGTATAAATTCTATTTCTACAGATTTTTAAGGCATATATTTCTGTGGTTACAATCCCCAGTAGGAGGATGTTTCTCTGAATTGTTAGTGGTAGGCTACAAAGAAAAGTATGTAGTAAATATTTGTAACCCATTCCCATTCCAAAATGGGAATTAGTGTATAAACTTATCCTTTTCAAAACAACTGCTCATTTTGTGTGGGCAAGACCCTCAAGTACACTCCAGTTTTTCCTACTTTTCTAGATCTGGGGAATGAGTTAGGACCATTCTGCTAGAAGTTTTATTCAGTTTCCTGACATCCTGGAAACCTGCTAAAGCAAGTCCCCTCCCCCCCCCCGCCCCCCAAGAAAAACCCACAAAATGTCTCATAGACACAGACAACAGTATGCTGATTACCAGAGGGAAAGGGGGTGGGGGAAGTAGAAGAGAGTAAAGTGGGATAAATGGTGATGGAAGGAGTCTTGACTTTGGATAGTGAACACACAATACAAGTATAGATGATATATTATATAATTGTACATCTGAAACCTATATAATTTTATTAACCAATGTCATCCCAATATATTCAATAAAAATAGCTAGAGAGAGAGTTCACTGTCCAATTACCTCTACCTTTAGAGCCATAGAAGTTAGAGCTGAAACAGATCTTTGAAATCTGCAGCTTAAACACCCTCATTTTATAGGTGACGAAACTGCAGCTTAAGGAGGTGCATTAACATTGAGGTTACGTGACAAGTAAGAGCCCAGGACTCCTCATTCTTTGATGAGATGCATCCTTCACTGAATCTGTAGTAACACTAATTATTTTGTTACTGGAGCATCTCTTGATGCCTGGAGCTCTACACCCAGACCACGAGAGGATGTATCCAGATGTGGCTGAATGTCGGAGAAAACCTTGACCAGTAGTTCCCACCCGTGTGCTGAGGATCTGGGAATTATTGAAGGGAATTTTCAAAACTATTTCTGCCCTCCCATATTGCCATGTTGATCTTTATATCTCTAACAAAACATGCAACATGATTAAATATAGAGAAAATACTGCTGCAATTAATATAGTGACTCACATTTAAAGAAATAAAATCCCCTTCACCTTGTTTCTCCACCTTAGTTTTATTATCTATAAAAAAGGAATAATATTTTTCCTTCTTCATAGGTTTTTGTTAGGATTCAGTAAGGAAATTCATGTAAAGTGCTTAAAACAACCCTTGGCATAGGATCACTGCTCAGTATTAGCTTTTAAAATTAGTAATAATACTTATCACAATAAGTACTGGTCACCCCACGTAGCCTGCTTCTTCAGTCCTTTGGTCATCCCTCACTAACCCCCCTGCCAGCCTGGTTGTAGGCAGCCATCTTGTGAGGGTATGAGGGTTGTAGCTGTCAGTCATGTATTTTTCAAAACTAGGGGCTCTTTGAATTACATCAAGGATCATGTGAAGATTAAAATATGTTTTGATATTAAATATTCAAAGCAATGTAGACATTAATTTGTTTTTAACTCCAATTTTTAAAAATTGTTTTTATTGATTTCAGAGAGAGGAAGGGAGAAGGATAGAGAGATGTAAACATCATCATCGCTTCTCGGCCTTTTGGCTAAGATCAAGTGAGAGATGTAAACATCAATGATGAGAGATCAACTGCCTGCTGCATGCCTTCCTACTGGGGATTGAGCCCTGGGCATGTGCCCTGACTAGGAATCGAACCATGACATCCTGGTTCATAGGCCGATGCTCATCCACTGAGCCACACCGGCCAGGTTATTTTACATTTCTTAGTTGTGATGAAAGAATATGTCAGTTAAAAAAAAAATAGAACTCGCCCTAACTGGTTTGGCTCAGTGGATAGAGAGCCGGCCTGCAGACTGAAGGGTCCCAGGTTCGATTCTAATCCAGGGCATGTACCTTGGTTGCAGGCACATCCCCAGTAAGGGGTTTGCAGGAAGCAGCTGATCGATGTTTCTCTCTCATCGATGTTTTTAACTCTCTATTCCTCTCCCTTCTTCTCTGTAAAAAATCAATAAAATATAAAAAAAAATAGGGCTCATTGTTTCATAAATTTTTGTTTAAGCCAAAAGCTTGAGATCAGATATAAAAATTATGTCTCCAATATGTTAAAAAATGAGAACATTTGTTCTTAATATATCAGTAAGCTTTTGAATTTTCCTACAAACTCAGAGAAGAATGCTGGAATAAAAACAACCAAACTTATTGGCATATGACTAAATACGTCCTTCCATTTCAAATGGAATCTGCACAGTTGAGTATCTATTGTGTGCTGCTGGGCACTGAGTGAGAGACAAAAAAATAGAATCCATGGTCACTGTCTGGGTACAGTAGACAGAGATTGGAGATGCTTCCCATGATTTTCACCTAAGCTTTTGTATCTAACTCATAGGTAAGCTGCTGCAGGCCCAGGATGTCAATGACTAAGCTGGTCTCTGCACTTGCCTGCCTGCTTTAGTTCACTGGTAGAGTAGCTCAGCTTTCCTGGTTTCCCTCAGCAGCACAGAACCGGGGACAGTAGGACTAGAGTGCTCAGACAGAATTTAGTCTGTGATCAGACAGAATGGTGTGAGGTCTACACATCAGACCTGAGCTCCAGACCGGGTGCCAGGCAGAGGGTTCAATGCGGGGAGAAAAGAAGACATTTGTAATACTTTCAACAATAAAGATAAATGTTTTAAAATCCTATATAATAAAGAGGTGATATGCAAATTAACCCTCATACCCTCACAAGATGGCTGCCTACAACCAGGCTGGCAGGGGGGTTAGTGAGGGATGACCAAAGGACTGAAGAAGCAGGCTACGTGGGGTGACCAGGCCATCAGGGGGGGGCAGTCAGGGGCAACCAGGCAGGCAGGCAGGTGAGCAATTAGGAGCCAGCAGTCCAGGATTGTGAGAGGGATGTCCGACTGCTGGTTTAGACTGGGATGAGGCTTAAACCGGCAGTTGGACATCCCCCGAGGGGGTCCCAGATTGGAGAGGTGCAGGCTGGGCTGAGGGGATCCATCCCCCATGCACAAATTTCATGCACCGGGCCTCTAGTAAGTAAATAAAAGGCCCTGAGGAGCTGACAGACCACTAGACAGACCACCACCCAATCCCCAGCCCATCCCCCATTTGGGGTCTTCTTACACAGGACTGCTTCAACAAGGAAACCTACACACAGGGGGTGGCTGTTGTTGCTGTTGTTTGCTTATTTGTCTTTCTTACTGGGTTTGGAAGAAATAGATTTCCTCCAGAATAATTCTCTTAACTGTACAGAAGAGAACTTCTTAAAGCACTTTGTGTGATCAGTGTGTGATTGGGAGAAGTTGAAGTACAAGAGGTTTCCAATTCTCCATCCGCAGCACCCACTATCTGTTTGAACTTCCCAAAGCTGGAAAAGTATAGGTGGATTTCATATCAGTTCTCACTGAAAGCTGCACAAGATAAAAATAGTCTTATCTCCTCTTTGGCTATAACTGTTCTGAAGCAATTTGGAAACTGCTCTAAATTAAGATGGTATGTCAAAGCTTCTTATTTGAGCCCTGGCCAGCAGCTCAGTCATTAGAGCACTGGCCTATGCATGGATTGTGGATTCAATTCCCAGTCAAGGTCACCTATCTGGATTTCAGGTTCGATTCCCACCTCCAGTCAGGGCACATGTGGGAGGCAACCAATCGATGAGTCTCTCATATGGATGAGCCATTCTCTTTCTCCCCCTCCTCCTTCCCTTCCACTCTCTCTAAAAGTCAATGGAAAAAAATATCCTCACTCCTTGGATGAGGATTTTAAAAAAAGAGCTTCTTATTTGAGGAGATGCTCATAAAAGAGCTAATTGGTAGTGTCTCCTTTTTTAACATTCTGTTGTTATAAAGAGAAATTACTTTATGTTAAAAATATCGTTTTTATTCAAATAAAGGTAATTACGATTTTTTTTTATTTATGGCCTAGCATATAATATCCAATGCTTCCTTATTTGTTAACTTTCAACATCTCTAGGCACTTGGGGCTATCTAAAGTGATGTAAGGACATTTTACTTACCCATTGCCACACAATTGTCATATAAACTCAGAACAAAAGAATGCCCAGAGGTAGAGGAAGACAGTGAGGAAAGATCTTCCACTGCAGGACCCTGGGAGAAGGGCAGCGATTCTGCAGGTTTCTCACCATTGGCATCCACTCCTGAACCCTCAGAATCTGTGATCCCACTGAATCAATGGAAATGGCTTTGTGAGCATTTAAAGAATTTTAGTGTAGCGCGAAGTCCATCTGATTTTGACCTGTTTACCCTCCCTTGACGGATTTGTCTGTAAGGCAGTTCAGTGCCTCTTACCCAACAGGTTCAGCGGATGAGCTAGTTTGCTCTCAAGTACAGCTTCTTCCTTTCCATCTCCATGTAAACTTTTAAAATCTCTTATTTCTTGTTTTTCTTTCTTCTGTGTGTACCGCAGGGGCTCGAGACATGCTATTTACCATTGCTAGTGCAGACCCAGGAGCCCAGGCACAAGACTGATCACTCGCCAAAGGGTATGTTTGCTTTGCTTTTAATCGCAAACCACAAGGTAGTTTCTGGAAGAAAATTTCCTTAAGAAACATGAACCTTTGGTTCTTTTGATATTTAAGCAAAGTAGCTATTGCTTATGTTTTAAAAAGAAAGAGAAATGGCCACAATCTGAGTTATGTAATTTTTGCACATGAAAGGATAAGTTTGTTGGAAACACAATCTACAATGTTGAAATATTAAAATTACAAATGAAATCATTATAGCACTCACCTTTAAACAGAGCTCGTGGTGGCCAGGGATCGAATCTGCAAATGCCCGAGGACACAATAGGTGCTCACAACAAAAAGGGTGGAAATGATAATCCAGACAAGCCAGCAGGAGGGAATGCCGTCATATCGCAGGGACCTAACTCACCTGCAGTGTGTTACACAAACATCCCATGGAGACTCTGGACTTTGTAAATGATTGCTTCAGTCGGCAGTTACCTGGAAACTTAAGAGTGACATATCCCACAGGGACTTGAATTTTCAATGGTTTTCCCAGTCAAGGGATATTGCGATAAGTATTGCTACTGCAGAGAAAAGAAATCTCTGACTCTATTTTAAAAACTCTTGAGAATACATTGCTTAAAATTTCCTTTCCCTTCTCCTTTAGGAATGTTCATTTCATTACAATATGTATAGATTCTTACTCTTTTTCTGATTATAGAATATTTGTTGAGGGAGATTTAGAAAATATGAAAAGTGTGAAAAGGAAAATCATATATATTTTTGGTCATATAAGGTGTAAGTGTATGTGTCCCTGTATAAGTATACATATGAATACACATATATATAATTTTTAAATGCCATCACACACTTATTTAAAGATTTAAATGTACAGAATTGATCCCATTCCACAGTTTATAGAACCATATCATGATTGGCCTGTGCAAAATCTTCTATTTTATTTTATTTCACTATTTATCCCCAAGATCTTGTGTCATTTCTTTTCCCAGATTAGTTACATGTATTAATGTATTTGGTGTTTGTCCTTCACATGATTATTTAGATATATGTGTATCCTTCAAAAGGACAAAGTCTCATTTCCCATGTGTATTTTTTGTAATTTATAGAAATGGCATTTTGCTAAAGGTCTTCTTTGATTTCTTATTTTCTTCATTCAACATTATGGTTCTGAGCCTTAGTGGATGTAAACCTACAGGAGCATAGACATTCATCGTGCCAACCATATTTTACTCACCCACTCTCTTAGTGTGCGCTTCTCTGGCCTGCAGCTCCTGCAACTAGAAACTCAGGGAACTCTTTCCTGTGGACCTGTGAGAAAATGTCTAAAGACTTTTGGGTTGCTCTTTAGAAAACTACGTACCTTTACACTCTTACCAGCACCTATGGGGGCTTCTCACTAGCGAGTTCTTAGCAGCCTTTGCCGTTAGCCAACCTGCTGATGTTATCTCATGGTGGTATCTCATGGTTATTTAAATAGCTTGTCTGTGATCCGTAGTGAACTTCAGCATCCTTTTATTGTCTCCAGACATTCTAATTTTCTATCTGTGAATTAAGAACTCATATTTCCTGATTATTTTTCTACTGTATTTCTTTACTTACTTTTGTTGTCTGATTTTCAGGTATGCCCCATACATTCTAGATACTAATGTCTTATAAACTTTGGATTTTGCAGATTTCTTCTTTTACCCATGTGTTCATTTTATCTGTGGTGTCTATGACTAAAGAGAAAAATCTTAATTTTGATGTAATCTAATATGTTTATTTTCCTCTGATAGTTTTTGCTTTGGATAGTTTTTCTTTTCCTTATGATATTGTTTTGTTTAAGAAATTATAGTTTTATATTTTATAAGGTGTTCTTTAATATTCTGCTGTTACACTGTGTTTTATAAATGGTTTGAGGTAGAATAAAGTAAATAAAACTCCAAAACCTACCACTTAATAAATGCAGAAAGGCATTGATTAAAACTCAACACGTCTTCCTGATAGGACCTTTTATCAAATTAGGAACAGATGACAACTTTTTTAATCTGACAGAGTATCTACCCAAAATTTGAGGCTACCCTCATAGTTAATGGAAAAACTTTGAACCCTTTCTTCTTAAGATGAGAAGAGAGATAAGAATGCCAGCTATCTCCTTTTATTCAATCCTGTACTGGAGTTCCTATCCAGTGCAATAGGAAAGAAGAGAAATAAAAGACATAACATCGAAAAGAAAGTAAGTGGTATTTCTTGTAGACAACTTGATTGTGTGTGTAGAAAATCCCAAAGAATTCACAGACACATATTAGGATTATAAATTAATTTAGTAAGATTTTAGTAAGATTGCTGGATATAAGTTTATTGTAGAAAAAATTGTTTCTACATACCAGGAAAAGCAAATAGAATGTTTAATTTGGGAAGGTTTAAATAATGGTAAAGCAGGTGGGGTTTTTTTACATCTAATGATGATTATGCTTCTATGAAAGGCTCGCAGTATAGGTTGAGACTGGCTAACATGGATATTACAGTAAGGTAAAGTGGAACAAAATAGTGCAATAGAAAAAAGAAAACTATAGGAATTGAGAACATCGAGGCTTATATTTTACTTTTGATTCTGCAATAACCAGTTGTGTGATCTTCAATAAGTCACTTCATTGAAACAGTTTCCTCATTTGTAAAATAAATGTTTTTCACACTTTTTTGAAAACAGTAGGAAGCTTCTTTAAAAATATTAGTTATATTCTCAATATGGAATAGAGCTAAAAATATTCCTCAAATAACTTACATTTTCACCATGTGGAGGGGAATGATGCTCTCAGCAGATCCTCTGAAGCAACACACTTTGACATGCGGGGTAGGAACGTGCCCCAAACCAGTATAAGTCAGAACCAGAAAACAGGTGTCTGATTTATAGTATGTTTTCTTTCTCCCACACTACATGGAGACTTTAAAGACTGAAATTTCAAGCCAAGAAGGAAAGCAGAGCGAACGGTGTGTTGAAGATACTTTAAGCTGGTGTAGCAGCTTCACTGTGAGTGTATTACATGATAAATAGAAGGGAAGATATTTGGTGACTAGTAATAAAATATATCATTTAAATATATACACTTCTTTTTTAGTTGGTTGTTTGAGGCCCTAAAATTAAATACATTTTTTATAGGTCATGGTGTTTGGAACTAAAGGCAAATTCTTAAAAGTCATAACCTAAAGAGATGAAAGTCAGGAGCCAATAAGTTAACCTAAATAGGGTTGTTAAGCAATGTGGGCTACAGGACAGAGAAGTGAGAAGGCCATGCGCCATGGCACAGGACAAACACAGGTGGAGAGAGGTGAAGGTGGTATGGAGGAATTCTTCAGGTGGAGTGCAAATGTCTGTGATCCAAATACCAGAACTGATCTGGTATCAACTGAGAATCGAGCATCTTTTCAATCATGTAGGTTTGGGTTCCCCATCTTGGGTCCTTATGGATGATCAAACAACATATCTACTCAGGGTCCTTTTCTAGAGCAGGGTTGGCAAACTACAGCTTTTATATTACAACTAGAGGCCCAGGGAGTGGGCCTAAGCCGGCAGTCAGACATCCCCAAAGGGGTTCTTAGTGCTGCCGCAGAGTGGGGAGAGGCTCCCGCCACCGAGGCTGCACTTGCCAGCCGTGAGCCTGGCTCAGGGCTTCTGGCTAAGCAGCGCTCTCTCTGTGGGAGTGCACTGACCACCAGAGGCCAGCTCCTGCATTGAGCATCTGCCCCCTGGTAGTCAGTGCACATCATAGTGACCAGTTGTTCCACCGTTTGGTCGATTTGAATATTAGCCTTTTATTATACAGGACAATAGAGTTGAGTAGTTGTAACAGAGATTGTATGGCCTGCAAAGCCAAAAATATTTACTATTTGGCCCTTTAAAGGAAAATTTTTCTTAACCCTGCAATTTAGAGGGGAGATTCTCTAAGCACTATAACCCCAGGGTCCAGTTCTAGGAGGTAAAAATAGTCTTACTTGGGATGGATGAATGGGTAATAATTGTAGAGCTAGCAATTGAAGGCTTGTGTGCAGTTATGCTCAGGTATGCCTCTGTGCAAGAATATGAGTGTTCCCTAAGCAATATTTGGATACATGCCGCTGAGAAACAAAGCATACTACGAAGTTCGCCAGCCTAGCTGTTTCAGCAAAGGCAGGCCTTCTAAAACGGCTGGTGACATGCAATGCAACTGTCACATAAAATACTCTACATTTTCATAATGTAGAAAGCTTCTAGTGAGCTCACATGTACACTGACCAGTAGAAAAAGCCTTTAATTGCAAAGGAACAGAAGGGTGTAGGAAGCAATTAGAGCTAGGACATGGAAAGTTAAGATGGAGCAATTATAATTTTTCCAGAAGGAGAATATGTATTTTGTTCAAAATCTTTATTCCTCTCCGAATGATGATAGATTTTACAGCTAAATGGTATTTTATGCCAAGAAAATGACCCAAACTTAAGATAATGAATAGTGGAAGCTGCTGATTACCTGAAGGCTTTTTCATATGCTTAAGTATTCACATGCCAACTGATCATTACAGCAAAAATACTGTATTTCTCATTAGAGCCAAGGCTAATGACCCCATCTATTTTACAGGTCCTTTAGCATGTACTTTGTCAACGGGTGAGTAGATTAAATTGCAAATTGAGTTTTTTCACGTGGTGATTCATAGATCAAAACTCTCAAATGGAGGAAATAGAAGGTTGCATTGGATCTCAGGATACCATGCTCTTTTTCCCTTTTCCTTTACTACTAAAACTGTTAGGCTAGTCTAAATTGGCTGCATTTGATTTCTTACCATCCACTCCTCTCTAACGTCACTCTTTGCCATCTCGGTTATAAATGCAACTAGCTGACAAGTCCTATTTTCTCAATGACCACCAGTAACTTAATTGCCAAATGGAATGGCCTTTTCTCAATCCACTATTGGCTTCTTGGACAGAGGAAGCATGTTTTTGTTTCTTTTTCCTGAACTCTCAGGAAAATTTAAAAAATATATATTTTTATTGATTTCAGAGAGGGAAGGAGAGGGGGAGAGAGAGATAGAAACATTAATGTGAGCGAGAATCATTGATCAGCTGCCTCCTACACGCCCCCCACTGGGGAGCTAGCCTGCAACCCCGGCATGTGCCCTTGACCAGAATCAAACCCAGGACCCTTGAGTCTGCAGGCTGATGCTCTAGCCACTCAGCCAAACCAGCTAGGGCTCTCCGGAAATTTCTCTTTCCTCCCACTACGATTCTCTTCCCATCTGGAAGTCTATCCTCAGCACCTTTCCTTTCATCAGATACCTTATCTACTTCCATGGACTTGTCCATCACATTTGGGTTCATTGCTTCCTACTCCACCAACCTCTGTCTTCAATGTTTATTAATAGGATCCAAATAGAACACCATGTCCAGTGGTGGCATGCTCTCTCCCACACGTCCGCTATCCTACCAGCTGCTAAATCCCGTGGCTCTTGTCTCTGAAGTGTCTCTTGCCTCTGTACTTCTCATCTTCTCCACGTCTTCACCACGTCTATGGCTACAGCTCCCTTTCCAGCCCCAGTGAACTCACAAGTTAAAGATTGCATCAATGACTTCACTGGTCCTAGGATTCCTCCTGAAATATTCCGCCAGGTTACTCCTTCTAGAGCTTACTTCTCAGTGATACAACTTTACTCAAAATCTCAATGTTGCTCTTTTCAGAACACCAGCCAATTAGGACCAGAATTCCATTATCTGACATTTGAAACTCTGAGCAATCTGATCCTATATGAGCAATCCGATCCTATATGACCTCTTTACACTTATTTTCTCTCCTTCCTTTTGCATAATTCATCATCCAGCCAAATTGGATAGCTGGCTGTTCATCAAATTGGGCTCCTGTTTCTCCTGCCAATGTAATTCTTTCCTAAAACTGCTTCTCCCCTAATTTCAGTTTCTGAAATATTAGTGCATTGTTTATCTGTTCTTCAAGGGCCATTCCAAATGTATTTCCTTCTTAAATCTTCCTGTATTTTATAAACACTTCCACTCTTAAGATCAGACACTATATGATTCACCCATCCTTGAAGCTTACATAGCTTTTACCTCGTACATGGAGCTCAGATGAAATTGCCATGTATTATGAATATTGGTATGTTATATTATTACCTACTATCTCTTACTCCATTTAATATATTCAAAGGTCCTAATGACAGGACCTAAATAATATTCATCTTTATAATTAATTAACATGGAAGTTAAATAAATGCTAATTGAATTGAGTTGTGTACACACAATAAATTCACAAGAAAATTGCTGAATTTTACATATGCCCTTATACACATGCCCATAGATAAAATTTCATGCAGTTTCTCACTAATTTGGCATAAGAGGCAACAACCTTTTCTTTAGCAAAGTGCTCCAAGAATTGTTTATATTTAGATATTCGCTGAATTGTTGAGTAATGCACAAAGATGATATTAAATTGAATAAACCCTTTGATGATTGTTTGTAAGGAAAAGAGAATGCTCTGTTACTTACACTCCTAATCTAAAACTGAGTGAACAGAAACATCTGTGCCATAAAAATCTACTTTGTGATAAAACAAGTCCAACTGCTGCAAGGTTTTGCCCCTTCTAAGATGACAGAGAAACCTGGATTAGATTTTAACTCAGGGCCTTATGGGACAGGGCAACAAGAAAAACAAACAAAACCACACTGATTGAGGTCAAATGGGTCTTACCTAAAGTCTTTTTAAAAAAAAAAAAAAATATATATATATATATATATATATTGATTTCAGAGAGGAAGGGAGAGGGAGAGAGAGATGGAAACACCAGTGATTAGAGAGAATCATTGATTGGCTGCCTCCTGCATGCCTACGGGGGTTCAAGCCCACTACCCCCGGCATGTACCCTTGACTGGAATCGAACCTGGGGCCCATCAGTCCCCAGGCCGACACTCTATCCACTGAGCCAAACCAGTTAGGCCTTACCTAAACTCGAGTCAAATTCCTAGTTTGCTTTTGAAACTCTAATTGTCCCATGCATCTTGACTACTATTACCAAGGTACTTTTCTGTCTCATTCAGGCTGCTGAATCAGAAGTTCCATCAACTGGGTGGCTTATCAACAACAGAAATTTATTTCTCACAGTCTTGGAGGCTACATAATCCAAGATTAAGGTGCTGGCAGATTCAGTGTCAGGTGAGAGCTCACCCCCTCATTCATAGACAGCCGTTTTCTCTCTATAACTTCACATAGTGGAAAGGGCCAGAGTGCTCTCTGAGGTCTATTTTATGAAAAGGCACAAATCCCATTCATTCAGGAGGGCTCCACTCTCACAAGCTAATCACTTCCAAGTACCATCACACTGGGGACTAGTTTCAACATATACATTTTGAGGGGACATAAACATTTAATATATAGCATTTTCCTAAACTTACTATGATGACAATTTAATATTTGGGTAGAATTTCATGGCATGCAATATACTGTTCAAAGGAGCAATAGTATATATTCACCCATTCTGATCAATTTATAGTTACTCACTGAGCATCAGACATGATGTTGAAACTTAAAGATAAAACGATAAATAAGTTTCGTTAGTTCTTTCAAGAACGTTATTTAAAAGGTAATGATAGAAAGAGAAAAGTGAATGTGAGAAGTACTGAACATTATGTCTCTCACAGAAATCATAAGCTCTCCTGTGCATGCAATCACTTATTCTCTTGTCTTTGGGTCAGTTTCACTATAACTGTCACCAGTGTCATTACCCAAGGCCTTTTAGTCACTCATTCAGCAAAAGTTTACTGCACGGCACTATTCTAGGCACTTGAACAGTGAGTAAAACAGAGAAAACGATCCTGACTGTGGAATTTACGATCTATTGCGCATAGGAGAGAGAAAACAAAACAAAATAAGTATGCAAGTTACGTAGCTCTTAAGAAGCATTTATTTAATATTTATTAAAATACTGTATCTTCCAAAAATGCAGGCCATTCTTTTTGTCCCTATTTTTTTTGTCCCTATTTTTTCATGCTCCTTGGCTTTCTTGGAGGAAAATGTGTCTAGTCTTGTCTCAGAAAATCGAATCCTATGGAGCCTGCTGAGTTGGCTGTAGGTCTCGTGATTCTGCCTGTTGGACAAGGCTGTGGGCCAGGATTGGATATGAGCCAATTTCATGGGCCAAGGCTGGGGATGGGGACTCAGAGGTTCCAGTTAGATTTGATGTGAAGCTTACTGATATGCCAGGCAAAGGGGAGGATGCCTTTCTGCAGGAAGAAAAGTAAGGTGGAAACAAAGAAATTTATAGATGTGAGGTCATGTGGCCCCAGAGAGTATCATAAGGCCCAGTGCACTTTCCTTGATTTTCATAAAGCACACCACTTCTTGTGGATAAATTTTCTTTTCTTTCTTTCTTTTTTTTTTTTGCTTATGATACTTTGAATGTTACTTACGAACAAATGATCCTAACTAAGATACATTTTGTGATTTTCAAATAGTTGCAATTTCAAAAGACAATTCACACACCTTCACAGTGGTATGACACGGCACTGCTCAATCAGAATGAGGCCTATCCAATTCATCCAAGGCCTGTGTCCCAGCGGATGTCAGCCCGAAGCCCTGTCCACGGTGAACTGAATGGTGCATAGCGCCTGCTTTCTCTGAGCTACGTGCAGCCACCGGCAATTGCAGAAATGAATAAATCAGTTCAATATTGACTAAAAACGCTTTATTCTGTCTCCTAAGACAGTGTGGAAAGTGGAAGGTAGAAACTGTGCTTCCACATCAGGACAGCTTCCTGGAGGTAGGTCATCGAAGATCAGTCGATAAGATGGATGGGAAGAGGGTGGGAAAGGAAGGTCGTCCCAAGTTCAGGTATGGCCGTTGAGAAAGCTTTGAATGGGCTGCATTAAGCTCTGTTTATTCTCTGGGATGTGAATAGCTAATAAGTGAGGCAATAAAGCAATGAAGGCCGATGGGAGGTCCTTGAGATAGATCTGGCAAAGCACCTGGAGGAAAAACATTTATTCTGAATTCTGGCTGGGGGAAACTACCGGAAAGCCAACGATAGCAGTGATTTGATCCTCTGGGCAAAGAGCACTCACTACCTGAAGCATGGAACGGAGGGGTGGCATAGGTCCAGGTCAGATATCACTGGGGTCATGGGTAGGTTTGTGGCTACGGCAAAGAAAGAAATGCTGTGTTGAAGCATGTAAACAAGTCCAAGTTTTAACAGCAATCAGAGTAAGAGGCAGTGAGACTTGGCTCACATACGTAAATATCCATTTTTGCCAAGTTCTGCAAGGAGAAAGTTGTTTCAGTTAAATGCTTGGAAGCCTAACAAGCCCATTAACAGCACATGGCCAGCGTATTGAACCCGCAGTGGAAGCCAGCAGTTCCCAATCATCCGCTACGCATCACTAGGTCTGTGGCCAACGCAGACAGACAAACAAAAGGAATGGAACAAATTGAAGTGTTTGGCAAGGTCACATTTTAAAATAACTAAATTCTGACGAATAGCTGCATTTTCTATAAACGATGATGAGACAGTTTTACAGTTAATGAAAAACTCAACTTCTGTTGACATGGACAGAGTTTCTTGATTTCTTGACACGTTTTATAAACATTTGCAAAAATGGGATTATTTAGCTATGTTTATTCTTTTTATGACTTGATAAAAAGCAACTTTTTCTTATAAATCTATAAAAATGTTTTCTTAAGAGAGTGCGTAATGAACTCAAACCATTTCCCAACCCACCCTTTAGTTGAAACTATTTTAAAAGGCTGTTCCAAGTTCATTTTTAAAAACAAAATATTTTGATTGATTTCAGAGAGGAAGGGAGATGGAGAGAGAGATAGAAACATCAGTGATGAGAGAGAATCATTGATTGGCTGCCTCCTTCCCCCCCGTCCCCCCCCCCCCCCCACACACACACACACACTGGGGATTGAGCCTGAAACCCAGGCATGTGCCCTGACCAAGAGTTGAACCATGACCTCCTGATTTATAGGTCGACACTCAACCACTGAGACATGCCGGCTGGGCTCCAGGTTCATTTTTTAAGTATTCATAAAGGTTCTCCTATACATGAAGGAATTGATTAAACCCTTAATTTAGTGTAAATTCCAATTAATTGTGAATAAAACAGATATGATTCTTGCTTTCATGAACTTACTTATAGTATATTAAGTAAAAGTGGTATAAAACAAATGAATACACACAAAAATATATAATATCTTAAAGTATATAACATTTTAATTATAACTTTAAAAGTATCCATTAAAATATGGTAAGTGCCATAAAAATAATGGGATGTTATAAGAAAATATAAGGAATATGAAATTTAGATTTGGAGGTCAGGAAAGGATGGAGGACAAACATTTGAGCTGAGATTTTATTAGATGAAAAGAATTTAGCAAGTAGAACAGAGGGAAACAGAGAAAGAGTTGTAGAATTTTTTGCCTTCAGACTTAAAAAGAGGTTGTAATCTTCACTGTAACAGCTCTCTTTTTATCAGCCTTATTGTACAACCAACAAATAAAATCATGTTATTTTTAAGTATTAATTATGGTGGTTTGATGATATACATAATGAAAGGATTCCTACCATCTAGTTAATGAACACATTCATCACCTCCTATATTTCTTTATTTTTTTGGTGAGATATTTAAGTTCTACTCTCTTAGGAAATTTCAGTTATATAGTTCAGTGTTATCAACTGTAGTTAGCATATTTTACATTAGATCCTCAGGCCTTATTCATCTGATAGCTGCAAGTTTGTACCCTTTTACCAATCTCTCCATATTTCCCTAACCCCCCCAGCTCCAAGCTACACTTTTCTACTTTCTGCTTCTAAGAGTTAGACTCTATTATTTTTATTTTTAGATTGACTTTAGATAAGTGACACCATCACACAGTACTTGTCTTTCTGCCTGGCTTCTTTCACTTGCTCAATGCCTTCAAGGTTCATCTATGTTGTTACAAATGACAGGTTTCCCTTCTTTTTCATAGCTGACTAATATCCCATTGCATCTATACTACATCTTTTGTCCATTCATCCTTTGAGGGACACAAGCTGTTTCCATGGCTTGGCTATTGTGAATAATGCTGCAATGAACATGGGAATGCATCTATCTATTCAATATCCTGCTTTCATTTTCCTTGGATATAACCAGAAGTGAGATTGTTGGATTACATGGTAGTTCTATTTTTAATTTTTTGAGGAACCTCCATATTGTTTTGCATAATGGCTGCACCAGTTTACATTCCCCACCAACAGTGCTTTCTCCACATTCTTGTCAACACTTGCTATCTCACTTCCTTTATGACAGCCATGAGGAGATATCTCACTGTGGTTTCAATTCACCGTTTACTTATGATTAGTGACACGGAGCACCTATTCCTGTGCCTGTTGGCCATTTGGACAGCCTCATTTTTATGTAAGTAAAGTATTATTAATAAAGGAGAACTGGGAACTTTAGTGATTATCCAAGTTAATGCAAAAAATAAATGGTGAAAGGGGAATTAGAGGTCTGCTGCTCTCTAGAGTGGAACTTTGTTTTACTTTGTTTTCTTAAGTATTCCCATGGCCACTCGAATCATTCTGCGATGCCTTTTTACCTTTAATAGACTTACAAATGTTTTGAGTGTAATTAGGAAAAAAGAGCATTTTTTTTATAAACTAATTTTTTTTAAAAGGGCAAGGATATAATAAACATTCTTGGTAGTTTAATTTGAACATTTTATAATTTACATCATTAAAAAATAGAAACAAACATCTTAAATGAGAAACCAAAGCCATGACTTCACCTTTTCCCACTTCTTCAGTCTTCTCTCCAGTACCAGTCAACTTCAATTTAGAGCTGTGTTTTTGTTTTGTTCTGTTTTCATCTCCATATTTCTTAGTCCTAGTACCTCTTTAACTCCATTTATCCTGATACCAGGTTTTTATGCTATAGTTTTCAGGTAAACCCCATAATATACTGTTCTATTGGCTTTAAACTATGCATTTACAATAGGAATAACATCGCCCTCATGAGGCTGAAAACTAGCTGTTGCTGGGTGTTGAAAGGCTCTTAAGTATTACATAGTCTGTGGCCCTACAAAGCTTAACCCTACCCAACAGAACCTTATTCCTAAGAATTTAATTTCTTTTTTGGGGTTTTCTTGCATGTCACATAAGATACATGTCACATACAAGATCAGTGCGCATTAACTCTGGTGAGTAGATGGCTTCTTTCTTTTGATTGGTCTATTTTGAGGCAAGAGGTGACCTACTCATGTCTATTGGCTGCTGTTGGCTGCCTCATAGATATTGTTTTTTGATCCCCATTGTTTTTGTTTGTGACTTAGACTTTGAGAATTAAATAAAAATAGTTCTTATTTTATTATTAATTCTATACAAATGATTCAACCCATCAGGTCAAGTGCTGAAAAAAAATGTTGACTGTATCTAAATGAATATCTTTAGCTATTTATTTTCTCATATCAATTCAAGATTAAAAATTAAGTTCATTAAAAATAAATTTTAAGAATCAAATGTTTAAATTATATTACTTTTTGTACAATTAATAGTTACATAAGCTCTTCTTTGCTATTTATTATCTCTGTTGCTAATTTGCTATTAACTATAAATTACAATTTATAGAGCTAAATAATTACATGACAAATAACTTAGCAAAAATCACGCACTTGTAAAGTTACATATTAATAGCCTTTTACTTTTTAAATTTAACTTTTAACTTACAAAAGTTTAGCAACTCTGAACACTGCACTAAGCAAAAAGAATAAACTGTATTATTTCTTCTTTTTATGTATAAAGCACAGATATACATACAAAATATAAACAAGTATTCAATATATCTCAAATATTAAAATTTTATTTGGTTGGGGAGTGAGTGATTAGGGAGAAAAAAGTCTAAAAAGGTTCCTAGGGGGAGATAATAAAAGGAAAGTTTGGGAAGGTTCTTTAAACTCTCCTATGTATTTCAGAGAATTGAAGAGAAAGAGCTTATGTTTATGTATGTCTACATATGTGTCACTTCTGATGTTCTCCATTCCATGTGTAAGAGTCTCTCTCTGGGGAAAAGTGGGAGGTGGTTGCTTATCTTGAGAGAGGTAACCTGGTGCCTCGAAGTCCTTTGCCTGCACAGGGGCTGCAGATGGACACCCACGCTCTTCTCTGCTATTCACTTCTGTGAGCCTTTCAACACATCACTGCCTCTGCTCTAAGTCAGGTACTAGTCTCCCACCTGCTTTCTGTTTTCCAAGCCTGGTTCAAACACCCAGTATGTCTACTAATATCTCCTCTGGTCTCCTTGTCCTTTTTGGGTTTACAACACTTTATTTCTTTCCTATTATAATGAGAGATGCTTGAAATGACCCCATTATGACCAATTGCTTTGTTCCATTGACCTTCATGTAGCCTTTTAAATGGGAATAAATTTAATCTCTTAACCATATTCATTTAATTAGTTATTTTCCCTATTATTTCCCCTCATCTTCAGAAACTTGAATATGCATAAATCCTTTTGGTATTCTATTGAAAATTGTGCTTTTTGATCCATTTCTATCACAGATATAAAGAATATCATTTATGAGAATGCGAGGGAGAGGTGTATATTCAGCTCAAAGCTGAGCTTGCCTTAGGTACTATTGAAATAAACAAAAGCTTTG